TTGCCATTGAGACAATTCCGACTCATAATCCATCCTGTAGAACAGAGTAGAACTGCCCCTGTGGGTTTCTGAGACTGCAACTTTACTAGAATGAAAACCTCCTCTGTCTTCAATGAAACACCAAGTGGTTTCGAACTGTGGACCTTGCAAGTGAGCAATCCAACTCTCAACCACTACGCCTCCAGGGTCTCTCCCTGCGCTCTCTTAAACACTTTTATTTATCCAGCCCAGTCACTGAGGGGTCCCGGTGGCATAGTGGTTACGAATAACCGAAAGGTCAGCAGTTTGAAGCCACCAGCCACTCCGTGGGAGAAAAAAAAGGAGGTGCTTTCTACTCTTCTAAAGAATTCCCAGTCACCGCCTTGAGACGATTCTGACTCAAAGGTCTCAGAAACCCACAGGCAGCCGTACCCTCTGAGTCAGAACGATGCCAGTTGCGCTTGGTGTGGTTCCAGTCACTGAGCACAGGCAAGGTGCGAGGTTCAAACCGCAGCTCCGCATGAGAAAGGTAAGGTTTTCTGGTCCTGTAAGGGTGTACAAAGCCTCTGAAGCTCTCTCCATAGGGTCGACATGATTTGGAATTGACTCAATGGCCGTGCCCCAGTCACTGAGTCCCAACCGCCTCCCACGCCTGGGAAGGCAGGCCAGCCTTGCCCCATTGGACGTCCTGGGGTGGGATCCTGGTTCCCCTTGGGCTGGTTACTAGTTCTGGCTCCTGAAGCCCTCGCCCATCCTTTAGGCTCAGGCTTTAGTCACCTGAACACGCCCCATCCTGGAGGGCCAGCCGACAGCTGTCTCACCTGGCTGGGTTCCCTGATATTCCACCCTGCCAGGGTTCACAGCAACAAGTTGCAGCCGCACCCTGTGCAGGTGGGTCGGACCCCCGCGGGAAACCACAGCTCTGCCCGCCCGCCCCACCCACTGCCAATCTCGGCCGGTCTAGCGAGGGCAGGAAGGAGGACAGGTGGAAGAGGGAGGCGGCTGGGGGCAGAGGAGCACCCCTTGGAGAGCACGGCACAGACCCTGCCACCTCTTCCCTTCCCCACTCAGAGGACCGGTGCCTGATCCCTTCCCACTGACAGTGAAGGTCTCAATCCCAAGTCCCTACTGCGAGCCACGAACAGCTCAGCGCACTGCATTCTGGGGAACGTAGTTCTCGCCGCCGCCTGGGGCTCCCGCGCCCATTCTGGGGTCCCTGGCGGAGCTCCAAGCCGCTGTCCCTCCCACCCCCACCCGAGTCTGAGCTGCAGTCTGAGACCGCGGTGAGGTCGAGCGGCGCGGAGGAGCCCGGGCGCTCCCGGGAGAGTCGGAATGAGGGCGGGGACTACACTTCCCAGGTCGCCCCGCGCCGAGCCGGGAGCCGGCTGCCTTGCTCTGCGTGACCGCGGCAGGTTGGTCCTGGAACCGATGAGCGCAGAATATTTAGGCGAGATCGAGAGGAGGGGGGTGGAGCGCGGGCAGGAGGAGTACCTCGGCCAAGGAAATTATGCATGCGTTAGGCAAGCTCTGAGAGAATGGCTGTGGAAGGTAAGGGACGCTTGAAGGCATTTGACGCCCCCCCCCCTTTAATCCGCGCACCCCAATACACACATCCCCGATGAAGCTTAAGGGTCGAGAGTGGGGAGGAGAGGAAGGCGGGTGGCGAGTGGGCCCCTTCCTCCTACACCTCTAGGCGCTCACCTGAGCCGCGCAGGCCACTAGGAGCTTCTTTCAGGTGCACAGTAGAGAGGCGGATGCGCAGCACTTCGGTGCAGGAGAAAAGTGCCCCTAAGGCTAAACAGGGAGCTGCACCAGGGTGGAAAGCCAGGAGACTGGCCTTTGGGGTCAGCCCCGAGTTTCCCCCTCCTCCTGCCCCCCTCCCTCCGGGATTGGCTGGGAAGCCACTAGGCTGAGGATGCTTGATCCCCCACACGTGGGTGGGAGAGGACCGCAGCCAGGTGCGTCCTCTGGAAGCTTGGGCCAGGATTGGGTCTAGGGCCCTTCTTCTGGTAGACTCCATGGCCGGGTGGCAGCTGTACCCCGAGGAGCAAGGTGTCCCTATGTCTGCCCCTGTGTGCACCAGCCCCCCTGGGGTTAGCAAAGTTTATGGGAAGGGAATGAAATCAGGTAGGGGGGTGGGGGATGAGGGGAATGCCATTGACCTCTTTATGAGGGAGAAATCCTTTTCTTTGAAGACAGCTTCCCTGTTGCAGGTATGCATTTCTGTGTTTGCTTTTGCTGTTCAGGCTGCAAGGGCCTGGCACCTTTGAACTTCCTGGTTGCAAGCATGCCCTTTGGGAAACATCTCCTGAGTTTTTCATTTCAGTCTCTTTCACCTTGGACCCTAAGCTTTCTTTCTTAATAATGGTAGTTTGGGGAGGGGGTGGGGGGGAGGGACAGATGTGTTTGCAATGTCAAATGCCAGGGCAGCCTGTGCCTGAATGATGAGATCGAAGGATCTTGGGACTCAATGGAACGCTGAGGTCAAGTAGACATTTATGGGTGGCTCAGGTCCGAAAGGATTGGGGTAGGAAAAAGGGCATCGCCTGCCTGCCAGCTGCTTCAGGCTCCTTGCCAAGGGGAAATGGAACTGTTCCTGGTAGGCTGGAGAGAATGAACCACATGTGCCTGCTTGCTGGCTCACTCCACTCCTCCGCTCCCGCCCCAGGAGAGAGAAGCCCAAGGAATCTGAGTCTTGCTCTATTTTTAATTACTGTACTGCCTAACCTGAAGTAGGAGCAGCTCAGCTCCTGGGCTCCCCACTCAGCAATTTCCCCTTTGGGCTGTCTTAGGATTCTCCAGCTGGTCACCTATAAAGATCTCCACTACATCAACACAAATTATGTGCTTTCCAAGAAAAAAATTTTTTTAATTAAATAGGAAGAACATAAGAAAATAATAGAAAGGAGAAGACTTTTCTAAGCTTTCGTTTTATGCATTGTAGTAAAACAGAGAGAATAAAGTTGTCTGCTTGTTTTCTGGGATGACAAGTGAGACAAGGGCACCCAGATGCCAAAGTGAAATAACACACTAACCAAGATCAAGTTCTTCTTGGGCTTGAAACCAGGGGTAAATTCACCTGCTGACAATCCCTTCCAATCTGCCCCTCATACAAAGTGGGTTGTCTTCCCCTCAGGACATTCCTGTGCCCCAGGGGGAGACACACTCCCACTTGTTGCCACGAAGGACTTAGAAGCAATTTCCTGCTCATTGCAAGACGTTTAGAGCTAGTCATATTTCTTGTCTGGTGGCATAGGGTGCTAGCACAGCCAAACCCTTGGTAGGAAGTACATGTGGACCAAGGAAAGCTTTTTAATGTTGTTTTTGATGTAACTTGTTTGGTTTTAAAAGCTTGTCTATTAAGCAGCAGATCTTAGCTTTGAATCACAATGAAGTATCCACTTGAAGAAGGAAGGAAGTCTTTGAAGTCTAGGCAGCAAATTGTTACATAGGGTTTGTTTTTGCAAAAGCAGTTTCCTTGACCTGGATCTGGTCATTCCTGCCTACTGGCACTAGCTTTTCCAGACCCAGCAGAAGCTAGCTTTACTGCTGGGAGCCTGTCCCTCCCCTCCCACTCCCTCTACCTTGGGATACCTTGTCTATGAGAGCCGGCTTCTGCTGTGGCTTCCCTAGCCCCTTTGCTTGCAGCTATGACTGTCCTACACCTAGTCTCTCCCTGGACTGAAAACCCTTGAAGGATTAGAGCCATGAATTCTTTCCCTTTATATTCCCAACCCTAATTAGGCATTGGGCTGCTAACGGTAAGGTCGGCAGTTAAAAACTACCAGCTACTCACAGGAGAAAGATGAGCCTTTCTCCTAATGTAAAGATTTATGGTCTTAGAAACCCGAGTTTCAGTTCCACCCTGTCCTATAGGGTCACTATGAGTCAGAATAGATTCAATGGCGGTGAGTCTCAATGGCAGTGAGTTTTGGCATTAACTGGGCTTCTAAGTCATGATAACCCATGTACAGTAGAACAAAATGCTGTCTGGTCCTAGGCACTCCCCATGATAGGCTGCATGTCAGACTAATGTGACCCATTTCAGTGCCTGATTTGGGGACATAGATTTCTAGGCCTTTCTTCTTAGTCTGTCTTTAGTCTGGACTCTCCACTGAGAGCTGCTCAG